ATTAAGAGTAGAATTGTCCAGGCAACAGCCGCATTTCAGAAGATGAGGAGTATCTTATATAATAAATCACTCTCATTAAACATAAGAAAAAGAGTAATGAAATGATAAATCGAGCCTGTATGACTGTGAATCTTGGAATGTGAGCAAACAAATTAAAAAGAGTTTGAAGGCAACTGAGACGTGGTTCTTGAGAAGAATGTTGCGAAAACATTGGACTGCCAGAATAACTAAAAATGATTGCTTGGAAATGGCTAATGAAAGTAGAAAAGTATATACAACCATAAGAAGGAGACAAACAAAGTTCTTTGGTCATGTGATGAGAAAAGGAGCACTGGAAAATATCGTGACGACTGGAAAGATCACTGGTAGAAGAGGCAGAGGCACACAAAAAGAGACGATGATGGATGGCCTAAGACATTGGCGTGGAGGAATATCATCAGTGGAATTGACCCAGAATAGTAAAGACCGGTATCTGATGAAATGCATGAACGCCTACGCCAGCTGGCAAGGCATCTGAAGATCCTGATGATTTCAAATTCGCAAACGCACATTACACAACATTAACAAAGAAGAAAGAGGGTGCTAAAATGTTACATAGATCCTGTTCTGCTGCATAGCAGCGAATCTTGGTATGTCAGTGGACATATTAGAAATAATTTGGAAGCAACAGCCTACGCCAGTTAGCAGGGCAGATGACGATAATAATGAAACATAGAAGGCTGCAGCTGCCAGACTTGAATTTTTTTCCGCCGAGGTGCGAGTGTCTCTCTCCCCCCCCCCCCCCCCCCCCCCCCCCCCATTTTCTGCCCGCCTTTTTCCATACATTTTATGTTGACAAAAACAAAAAAAATGATTGCGGGGGCAAACCAAAGCATATATCAGCATAGAACCAATTAGCATGGACAAACAAAGGGCACTGAAGCGATTACCTTTTCCCAGGAAACAAAAACGGAAAACAAACAATGTAATGGCTACATTAAAGTGTTTAAATATTGTTCAGATAAATGTAACAGGCTGTTGGAGTCGGGTTTTAACCTGTTAAAATTCTGGTATGGCTGCAATTGTCGGACTTAAACTCACAGGTTTGCAGATTGGAACTCTCCAGAAGTGCCCAATGAGTCCAAAGGTTAATATAAGGCCCAGCGCAACAACAACAAAAACCTTCCTCTTTGGTCGGCGGGAGTGAAACTAGAAACATGTTGGTACTGACTTTTCATTGCGAAACCGTACAGGGTTCTCAGTGCAATGTGGGTTTGGCGGACTGAGTCGAAAGAGATGAACTGGCTCACTGGTTTCGTGTTCTGGCGGTACGTTCAGTAGACATATTGAGTTATATCTAGATTTCTATGTACATCTCGTGCAAAGATTTTAATTGTAGATTTCTTTGAAGGGAAGGTGAACTCTCACCTTTGTTAGCTAGAGTGATAAACATATGGTGTGTCCGTACACATTGTTGATTTTTAATGTACTGTTATCTGTGAAGTACGCTTGTTAGGTATTCAGTAAAATAAACATATACTGAATGTGATTATTATATTCCATTTGATTTAGAACAGAACTTGTAGTTCGTGCACAAGGTCTGTCCACGGGCTGCCTATGTAGTTTTAAGTTGCCATTATTGTTGTTTAATTTACTGTTCACATAATCATCACCTTGGCCATCAGAAGAACCCTTGTCTTTCCGGACATATTCTGTGTTTTTTGCAGTTTATCAGGGAACTATTTACTTGTCCTAACCACATTTCTTTTCTTATCTCCATCCTTGTTTATCATTATATACTCATATATATACACACATATATATTTATTAATATGTATATATGCGCGTGTGTGTGTGTGTACACACACACACATTAATAAACGACAGAATGATATAAAGTACATTAAAGAATTCATCTATGCTCCTCTCTGTTTTATTTGACAGTTTATGTACACCGCACCCCCCCCCCCCACCTCTCCTTTACTAATGTATTGTTCTAGAAAGTCAACCACTTCTGGACTCTAGTATTCATCTTAAACTTCAGTATTTTCGTGCACATCAGTGTAACAGATCTAGCATATTTCAAGCAGATGCACGCCGACTTCAATGGAAACGCCCCTAATTAGTCACATTTTACGACATGCTTGTTAGTGAGCAGTGTTGTCTCTTTCCGCTCCCTCCACAAAACCCCGAAACCCCACAAGGGTATACAGCTAATATGATGATGATATCTCATTAACTCTTTCGTCTGTTACTGTATTAGCCTCCGACCTTTCTTCAACTTCCTGACAATTTCCAAACCCTTGACCAGTGCTGTCGTCACTTCCTGCCTGCTAATCCTCTCGTCTGCCATTCTGTGGTATCCACGGAAACAGACTCAAGCTGGGCTAACGAAGGAAAGATCGGCGGTCACACATACGCTATGTTACAACCTGCTACAGACTAACAACTGTGAACGCTGGATGTTTATAAAAGAGTGACCGTTGCAGACACCCATGGCTACGCCATTTGCTTTGTTCTCTGAAGGTCGCGGGTTAGTTTCTTCTTATTTGTCTTCTTTTTAACGATCACCAGCTGTAAACTCAGGGGGAAGGTTCTGGTTGTTCATCCACTTTTGGGCTGTTTTGTTCTTGAACTTTAGTTTTGCGTGTAGATCTGCTTTACAGATTTGACTTTGTATGGTAATGGTAATTGTAATGTTAGTTTCAGCTTCATAGCAAACGGGTCACCCTATACTTGCTCCGCTCCTGTGCCAACAAAGAACAGACAGAATGTTCACCACAGTCCCTTGTGGAGAGATTACTGCTGTCTCAGCATATGCACTAGCATACACACGCATTAAAGCATACGGTAGCCACCAAAAAAGCATACGGTAGCAAACAAAAGTGCTAAAACAAACAGTCCGACCTTAGAAATGCAGTTCATCATCGACGGTAGCAGAGGTAACCAACAAATCAGCAGTTGCACACGCCATCAATTTTAATGACATAAGGGCAACACCAATTTTGCGACGACAGGCCACGCGCCATTTTCTGAATCTACAATTCACAACACCACGTTGGTCACAGTCGAAAAACACTTCAAATGAAATCCGCAGCTCACAGGGTCACACTATGCCCTCAACTCAGTAGCTGGGCGACGAAACTATATCCTTTCAGTCTACAAATGAAGCAAAAATTCAAGGCCACTGTTTGACATAAGCCAGACTCAAAACAGTGACGTGCCTAGCATCCATTTTGACCAAAGTCCTTCATTTTGTATGCAGACTGTTGGTTCCTCGCCTCTCAGACAGATCGCCCGCAAGTGGATTTGAACCCGGCACTTCGGAATTATGATGCGCATTCGCAACGCCTACGCCACAGACGCCGATAGGCATGTCGTAAAAGGCGACAAAATAGGGGTTTACTAAAATCGTATATGTTGGTCGATAGAGACAAACATCGCAGCCTTGCTGTAAACTGCTGCGAGGAGTTATCAGAGGATATGGCCCACGCTCAACACTCAAGGGAGAAGAAGAGACAGATATACAATCAGGCAGATACCGGTACCATCGGAATTGGAGCTCTTTGCTTGCTGCTGAAGATGGGGACGGGGCGTTAAAGGAAGTGTCCCGGATGCGGTGATGTCGATTCCTAATTCAACATTCAGATCTTTTCTGATGTCAATATTGTTCTTCCTGGTTTCGTGGTCTTCTGAGAATCTTTCTATAGCAGCACTTCAGTTTAAAAGTCCCTATTTTCTGTAATAACGACTGCAATATATGGGTAATGAACAACTTATATCCGTATGTTGCTAACAAACAGCGCTAATCTAAACTGGCGGGTGTACGCTCCGATGAAATATGTGATGATATATTTCATAAACATATCTTTTCTGGCGTATATGGGTGACGAAGGTGGTTTTACCGCGTCTCCGAACATCCTGTCTGACAGAAAGCTACAGCAGAAACGTCAAGTCTGCTAATATAATCGAATGGAAGGTGTCAGGGATTGGAAGCCTTAATGGGGCTTAAGAAAAGATAATTATTACCCGCTCGATAGCGGAACTTATCTCCGGTTGATGTCGGAATTAATCAGGTCATGAACATGTTAAAAATGTGAAAATTTAGAGAGGATGAAACCACGCCCTTCTATAGACATACATTTATAGTCTAAAGATGGACGTGGATCAAATAAACCAGGAATGGAAAATAATGTCGTAAGGTGCAGTGTAGGTACTTTAAAGGAAGCAAATAACAGTAAGCGAGGAGTGCCTGGCCGAACTGTTAAGAACGCCGAGCTCTCAAGCTAAAGAATAGGGTTCGATTTCTCAGTAAGGTTAGGATTTGTTTCTGTCGGGGGCGACAATAAAGTCCTAAACTGCACAGTCGGTGGCGACAACACTAGCCAAGAGGCCCTAAATCCTCACACCCAAAGACTGCCCTGCTGACACCGTAAAAGTGGTAAATTCAGATGGTGATGGCAATTTAAAATAATAGAGGTATATCAGAAAGAGGGTGTCCGCGCAGCGAGCTGGCTAAGCTGTTTGCCTCATGCCCTGAGGGTCGTGGGTTCGCTTCACAAACACGTCGTTCAGTTCACGATTGCAGGTGTTAATGAGATGCAGGAGTCGTCGATGGAGTTACCGAGTTAGTGCTTTGTGCGACGCCCTCGGCAGGCAGTCGGCCGTTCTGCGGAGAGAGAACGAGTGCAATGAAGTGCCCTCGGGGGGGGGGGGGGCTGCCAATGGGATTTTTATGAAAAACCCAGCTTAGCTGAACAAAAACCCAAGCAATACATAGACAAAGAAAAAAAATCAAAATAAAAAACCCAGATTGTTAAAATTTAAAAATTTACATATAGGAAACGAAACATTTACCACTTTTATATAAGGATATATTTAAAAAAAAAAAACATAGATTTCCCCCAGGCGTCAAATAAAAACCCAGATCTGGGGGGGAAAAACCCAGCATTGGGAGCCCTGCCCTCGGCTCGACTTTGGTAACGAAGACGTTGACAATGGAGACACGGCACACAGGTTACCTTCAGAGAAAGGCGAGTCTAAGCCTCCCAGATACTGGGATGTGGTGAACTGTTGGGTCAGCGACCTCCTCCCGACGCCTCCACACCCGAGGACGGTGACTCTGTAGTGAGGTTCCCCGCCGCAGAGCGGAGGGGGGCCGTGCAGTGGAGACCCTGGCATCACTGGGCTTTGGATGCAGATACTTCCGTTGGAGACAGAACTGGACGTCCTTGACCTGTGAGAAGTAAGTAAGTAAGTAAGATTCAACCCCACCACGACATCCACTAAGCGATTAACGCCTGGTGACACAAAGAGCCACCATGCGGATGAGGATCACCCGGGGAGAGGTCCCAGAAACCCCGTTGAACTGTTAGGTTATACTTATACTACAGCCAGGGTGGAGCTTTAAAATAACGAAAAATGGCATCCTATGTTCAGATGTTTGTATATACACCTGTAAGGAAGCAACGGGTGTGTTTATATTTAGTTGTGTGACAGAAAGGACAATTCTTCCAGGCTTTCGGGCGTATTGGGCATACTGAGCTAGACGTGTATTTGATGGGTCAATCGGCACTTGGTGGACCAGTGGTCAACAGCACGCTGGCCGCCCATATTCCCAAGCACTTTATCTGCTAACCATTTAATGGCTGAGTCGACCTGGAACCCGAGGCCAATTTTTGAAAGGGAAAAAAATAACTAGCTCCAATCAGAAGAAGAAGGGGGAGGAGGAGAAGAAGGAGGAGGAGATTCAGGGGGAGGAGGAGAAGAAGGAGGAGGGGGAGATTAAGGAGGAGGAAAATAATAATAATAATAATAGGAAGAAGAAGTAAGAAGAAGAAGAAGAAGAAGAAGAAGAAGAAGAAGAAGAAGAAGAAGAAGAAGAAGAAGAAGAAGAAGAAGAAGAAGAAGAAGAAGAAGAAGAAGAAGAAAAAGATGATGATGATGAAGAAGAAGAACAAGAACAAAAAGAGGAAGAACTAGAGAGGAGAAAATCTGAAATGAGACCCCGCAATATCTTGTCGGAACTCTCCAATTATGTGGGGAATTACCCACTGTCAAGAAGCCTTAGTGACGTAGCAGCTGGCGGCTGGGTTCAAAGCCACTTCGATCCGAACTGTTTCCCAAACTGACCCTGGCTCAAAGCCTAAAACGGGTACAAGGTAATGTCATGTGGAAGCTAAGGCGGGCAGCATGATACCGACAACGTCAACGATCAAAATCCGGTTTGTCTATAAAATAATAGGTTGAATTCTTTATGCCCCATGCGCCAAAGGCGTGGAAGGGATCACTGACATCTTGTTCAGCAATTGTTTGCTTGCCCAGAGACCTGTATTTATTTAGATTTCTTATTGTTATTCCTTTCCTTCTGCCTTCTCTGGTTAACGTGTTGTGTTGTGGATTACAGATAGGCTGCGATATCTACCCTATTGGTCAAACACATGCAATTTCAGCAAACCCCATATTAGTAACTAATTACAAAATTCTTGATAGGGTACAATGTGTCTATTCCTCACACCCCCCCCCCCCAAAAAAAATATGGCCCCGGAACCAAACTCTGCCCCCCCCCCCTTTCCTCAAAGTGCCACTGGTGGGTGAATGGCTTTGTAAATTGTCTGATGATATCAGATAGTGATGTGTACAGTGTGTGCGTCTCATGTTGATTGTCCGCTTGAGGATTGTTTGTTTATCGGTTTCTGGTTTAACCTGTGAGGGACCGGTGTTTCCCTTGGGGAAATGGGAGAGGAAGGGGGTGTCCGAGCTGCTGATAACGTGAGACTTGATAAGGAAGAAAAAAGTGAATGGGAGAAGATGGGATGAAGAGCAAAGCGAAAAACAGTAGATTTTTAGAAAGAGGCTAAAGCAGATATTAAATAAGAGAAAACGAAAGAACGAACGACCAAACTTTATTTTCATAGGGTTACAAATAGGGCACGCAAGCCGGTCCTACATTCGGTACTTCTAAACACCCATTTTGTACACAGCAGTTGTATTTTAGTAGGAGAGAGAGAGAGAGAGAGAGAGAGAGAGAGAGAGAGAGAGAGAGAGAGAGAGAGCAGAGGAGGAGCAGGAAGGAGACAAGAGAAGAGAGTAGAGAAGGAAGAAAAAAGGGACTGAAAGTATAGTGAAAGGAATCAATAGACTGGCAGACGAAAGGATTCGGGGAGGGGAAAGAAAGGGGGGGGGGGGGGGGGTTTAAAAGGAGGAAAAGAGGGAAATGCGAAAGTTATATAAGAAAATTAAATGACAGGGTAGCATCAAGGGCTGAAAGCTGCGATCATAAACATGATATAGGCGACAGAAAAAAGACAATTAGAAGAAGAACAAGCCTGTGTAGTGAAGATAGAAGGTTAAAAAGGAAATAGCAACGTTTCTTCTTCTTCTTCTTCTTCTTCTTCTTCTTCTTCTTCTTCTTCTTCTTCTTCTTCTTCTTCTTCTTTCATCATCATCATCATCATCATCATAACCACTTCTGCCGTTAAGCGCCGTGGAGAGGAATAATTTGCGATGCAGAGCACGTTGGCTGCCACTGGCTATTGTCATGCCGTGAAGGCGTATAGTGTCTTTAATGTTGTCGATCCATGTTTTCGGCGACCGTCCTCTTGCTCTTGTAGCTGATCTTCTGAGATGTAGTGCTTGTGATGGTATTTGATCTTGCGGCGTTCTAACAAGATGGCCAAATCGCTTAATCTGCTGTTTCTCGATGAATCTAGCACAAGGTGTCTTTCCCACAATTTGCCTGATAGTTTCATTATTCACTCGATTTCGGATGGTTAGGTTAGCTGCTTTCCTCAGGCTACTCATCTCGCAGGTGGTGATTTTGCGCATATGGGCTTTAGATAGTGTCCATGTTTGGCATTAATCTTCTTTACTTTCAACTATTCCCCCATCTTTCTTCAGGTACCACCTAAAGAGAAGATGTAAGAATGTATTTGTATTCTTTCTATGGGGCTGTGTTAGTTGGTCTTCTGTTATCTAAGGCTGTTCTTGATACCGTCCTTCCATATTTTGCATAGTCTTCGCCCCCCCCCCCCTGCTTTGTGATCAATCTTTATCTTCAAAGTGGCTCTCTGTGGTAGCTGGTGCCACACTATTCTTCGAATCCCTCCCTACACACTCGAGTATCTTTATAAGTGACACAGTATCCGACCATAGATAACACAAAGAAAGACCAGGCCAAACGGGATAAAACCTTGTTGCTTAAATGGTAACAGTGAAGGTGGGACGATCTACTTCACTGCATTGGGTTTTTCACGCTTAGTCTTTATCCGCAGAACGGCCAGCTGCCTGCCGACACCGCTGCACAGAGCACGACCTCCGCAGCTCCGTCGACGACCCCCAGTGATTTCCGTAAAAAGTGCACTCGTGAAACAAACCCACGACCTTCACAGCGCGTGGCAAACAGCTTGGCCACTTCTCTACGGAGACACTTTGAAGACATTGCTACTTGTCTGTACCGACATCGAAGCACATCAGTCTTACACATTCGGGCTCAGTCACCAACGGAGCAGCCAACTCAGTATCTCCATGCTCATCGTAACCAAGAGTTAATTTTCATATCTTTTTTTTCATTGCCCGCGTTCGGTCTCTACATGCTTGTCCTCGTTTAATATCCTTTCCAACAGGTGGCTCATCGTCTATGGAACGCATCGCATTTAGTTCTTCTGCCATGTCCTTACTTCTTCCTTTCCTAACCACCGCAGGCTAGGCCAGTCTGTCCGTTTTTTCATTTACCTTTCACCTTGGTGTATGCCAAAATACAGTCAAGACAGTTTCTTGAGGGGAAACTTCTAGATGCCTTCTACCCATTCTGTAAAACATCAATAGGCTTTTCGTCCTTTTTAGGACGAAATTTTTTGTTATTTGAAGCCCCACCCTGGCTTTTGCCAGGGGTCGCAATATAGGCAGGCCATAAATATGGCCAACTGTCTGAACGCGGTTTCTGGGACCTCTCCACGGCGATCCTCATCCACATGGTGGCACTTTGTGTCATCGGGTGTTTATCGCTTGTGTGATGTCCTGGTGGGGTAGAAAGTCAGTCAGTCAGTCAGTAAAACATGCTCATAATATGGGGAGAAAACCCTAGTGTAATACAGTCGACCCTGAGAGGCGATGAACCAAAAGTCAACATACAAATAAGCCATATCTTTAAAACGGACGTTCACGCAAAACAGACCAAAGCCCAGAGGTGGGTGCCAAGATACAGTCAAGGCAGTTTCTTGAGGGGGAACCTCTAGATGCCGTCAACCTATTCTGTAAAACATGGAGATAATAAGGGAATAAAAACCTGGTGTAAAAAGTCGACCCTTGAGTAATTAATTTTCACATTCACGAGTCAACCACTGACTTCACAGCAGTTGGGCCATTCTCATAAAAGCCTTGTCTTCATCTTTGTAAGGGTAGACTAATTAGTGGATGTGTCCTTCCAAGTCGGAGTGCACATGCATGAGAGGCGATGAACTAAGAGTCAGCATACAAATAAGCTAGATCTGTAAAATGGACGTGCACGCAAAACTCAGATTCCTAAAAACATACCAGAACCCAGAGGTGGACGAACAACCAGATCTTTGCGAACAACCACAACTTTCTGAGGAAGACTACAGTCGGTAAACGAGAAGATCTGCAGTAGCCACCACAGAGTTGCCACAACAACGGTACCAGTTCTAGCCTGATAGTTCTACAAGCCACTTGTGGTAATCTGTGCGCGAACAGATGTTGGGCTTTCCTGCGATAAGTCGGTCTAAAACTAGGAACTGCAGATTATGTTGTGTCGTCCGTCATGACTCGGTATTTTATCGCAAAAACGACAAGGAATCTGTCAAGTAATTCTGTAGTTCAACACTCTTGAGCGAATGATATGGTTGGCTGGTTAGTTGACTGGCTGGTTGTTTGATTGGTTGGCTGGTAGGCTGACTGGTTTGTTGGTTGGTTGGCTGGTAGGCTGACTGGTTGTCTGGTTAGTTGGTTGGTTGACTAGTTGGTTGTTTGGTTGGTTGACTGGTTGGCTGGCTTGTTGGCTAGTTAGCCGACTGGCTGGTTGACTGGTTGGCTGGTTAGATGGATGGTTAGCTGGCTGGCTGGTTGGTTAGCTGGTAGGCTGGCTGGCTAGCTAGTTAGCCGACTGGTTGGTTGACTGGTGGGTTGGTTGACTTGTTGGGTAGCCGACTGGTTGGTTGCTCATTCTCTGAACGATTTTTTTCAACTCAAAATCTGATGTTTTGAGGTTCTGCCCGTGTAGATGTCAGTGAACATTTTCTCCCAGATCCTATTAAATGCTGTGTCTACGGGGACTGGGTTGCGGCCCTGATTTGGCGCACATGGGTTGAAAGGTTTCAAGCCTAGAGGATAGACTTCACTGGACCGCGTTTTATCCGATATGGCTTGCTTTATACTCTATACTGAATAGCCTGCCGCCTGTTGACAGCGTCCTACAAAGCATTAACTCTATACCTACGACTGATCTTTGTAAAAAAAAAAAAAGTGTAACAGTAAACCGAACGACGCAGTCTACTACTCAGCCAGACCCTTATTAATGTTAATCTCCACCGCGATATGTTTTCCTTATCTTCCTGACGAAACCGGACGTTTTAAAAAAAATTAGCATTGGCTCCCAGATCCACCAAGCCTTAAATGGGCCCAAGTAAAGTTCTGGGAAGTAAAGACGACCGGTAGAAGGATGATGACATCATCCACCGAGTGCTGAGGCTTGTATGATGTTGATCCCATAACCCACCGAGTGACATTTAGTCTATAATATTGCCCTAGATCTGTAGGCCCAATGTGTCTAAAGGTGTGAAAGGGGGTCCCTATACTAGGATCTATCTTCGGTGAGACCCAGAGAGAAGATACTAGACAGTCTGACATCACGGCATGGAAAATCGTCTATGGAAGAGGTGATTGAAAGTACACTTCATGCTAAAATTTTGGAGAAAACAAACCAACAGTAAATATCCACAAGACCCCATCAGCAGACTCAACACAAAGCAACATGCAACAAGTTTCCGTCTGCAAACAGGACACTGCAGGCTCAACTACAACATGCATAAAAAAAAGGCTGTACAGTCCCCACAGTGTGACTGTCAGACAGGACCACAAACATTTGAGCACATTCTGCAGACCTGCCAACTCTACCAACTACTTCGAAAAAAAGCCTGGCCTCAAGAGCAAAGTGTGCAGAGCAAGTTATGGGGAATAATGAAGGACCTGCAACTGACATGCGAGTTTTATAGAGGCAACCCACATGATGGTCTGATCTAAGCACACACAAAATCAAACGCAAAGAAGAAGAAGAAGAAGAAGAAGAAGAAGAAGAAGAAGAAGAAGAAGAAGAAAAGGAAGAAAAAGAAGAAGAAGAAGAAGAAGAAGAAGAAGAAGAAGAAGAAGAAGAAGAAGAAGAAGAAGAAGAAGAAGAAGAAGAAGAAGAAGAAGAAGAAGAAGAAGAAGAAGAAGAAGAAGAAGAAGAAAAGGAAGAGGAAGAAGAAAAAAAGGAGAAAAGAAAAAAAAGAAGGAAAAAAGGAGAAGAGAAGAAGAAGAAAAAGAAGAATAAGAAGAAGAAGAAAAAGAAGAAGAAGAAGAAGAAGAAGAAGAAGAGAGAAGAGAAGAAGAAGAAGAAGAAGAAGAGAAGAAGAAGAAAGAAGAAGAAGAAGAGAAGAAAAAAGAAGAAGAAGAAGAAGAAGAAGAAGAAGAAGAAGAAGAAGAAGAAGAGAAGAAGAAGAAGAAGGAAGAAGAAGAAGAAGAAGAAGAAGAAGAAAAGGAAGAGGAAGAAGAAAAAAAGGAGAAAAGAAAAAAAAGAAGGAAAAAAGGAGAAGAGAAGAAGAAGAAAAAGAAGAATAAGAAGAAGAAGAAGAAGAAGAAGAAGAAGAAGAAGAAGAAGAAGAAGAAGAAGAAGAAGAAGAAGAAGAAGAAGAAGAAGAAGAAGAAAAAGAAGAAGAAGAAGAAGAGAAGAAGAAGAAGAAGAAGAAGAAGAATAAGAAGAAGAAGAAGAAGAAGAAGAAGAAGAAGAAGAAAAAGAAGAAGAAGAAGAAGAAGAAGAAGAAGAAGAAGAAGAAGAAGAAGAAGAAGAAGAAGAAGAAGAAGAAGAAGAAGAAGAAGAAGAAGAAAGTTCACGAGACAGAAGGTTGTGGATAAACATGACTGCCAACCTAACACTACACGGCATGCACTAAAAGAAGCCCATGACCGTAGCTTTAATGGATTCTAGTGCTAATGGACAACAATTTAGCAAAAAAGAAAGTTTACAATCTCTACTGTAACTGCAGTGTTAATGACTGTTGTTTATGTACTTTAATTTTAATGTATTGTGGTGTTAATGGGCAAATATTTAGTAAGACAGTCGAGGTCAACGTAGTGACCTAATTTTCTTGAAGTGGTAACGGAAACCAGAGTCAAATAGAGGAGGTAACCTAGCTACTTAATGATTGTGGTGTTAACACATGACAGTTCAGCCATTAATACGAAGTGAACCTGGCCACTTAATTTGAATTATGAGTTATGAATTAGGTATCAGGCGGCGTCTGTGGCTTAGGCGTTGCGAGTCCGACTCGTAAATTTTTTGATCGTCCTCTCTCTCTTTCTCTCTCTGAGTATGTGTGTGTGTGTGCTCGCGGGCGCACGAGTGTGTGTACGTGTGTGCGTGTGCGTGGGGATGGAGCTGGCATTATCAATGTCAGTGCGATCCATAGGCCGGCCATCCGCAACTTTGTGACAGCCAGCCAACCACCCATCTGCTCTTTTATTTCCAGCAAAACCTTCATTGGATGAAAGTCACTGCACGCATAGTGAACATCAGGTGTCTCAATCCATTACCTGCCTACATATCCATCACTGACCCGCCAGATCATCATATCTGCTTGTAGCTGTAATCGACAACTGGTAGGTTAGATCACGGCCAGCTCCAGATTTATAAGGCCGTACAGCTTGAACCGGAATTCCCGTTCTTGTGCAAGAATTGAGTCCCTCTGCGTCCACAGTTTTCTTCGAGGAGATGTATACGCAAATTAAACTACAGTTTTATTAATTTTCGACATTTTTTTTAGAACTATACGTCATTTTTAAGGTAAATAAGTGTGCCGAATAAAAAAAAAACAATAAATGCTCTTACAGACAAACAAAAATGCTTTTGCTACAGTCAACATGAACATAAACATCAATAACGTTTAGATGTAAACTAAAAGTTGTTCCAGCAAAAGTAAAGAAATATCAGTGCTAACTCTTTGATTCTGAGAGGGTATTTTAGCGCATACAAATACTGCCATGAAACATACACATATCATACATAACATAAATATAAATAATTGATGGTTATTATTATTATTATTAGTAGACTACTACAACATATAATTATACTGTTATTTAATAATTAGTAAACAAGCACAATCAGTATGAAATTGATATGTGCAATACTTTTTTCACCCAGAGTAGTTTTCTTAACAGTACTTATAGCACTACTAAATATGTATCCTCAAGGTACAAACAGCACAAACAAATTTGTCCAGTTTCATCTTGTTGGATGACATCAATTCCTTATCATTGCGAATTTTTTGGTAACAAATATGCATAGGAAGTGAATGAACAACCAGAAGTTTCCGCAAGAGTTTACAGCCAGTGTTCGTGAAGCAAAGCAAAAGCCAGTTTACAAAAATTAACACAGACCGTACAACTGCAAATATGCAAAAGAAGTCGATGAGCAACCAGAAGTTTCCGCAAGAGTTTACAGCCAGTGTTCGTGAAGCAAAGCAAAAGCCAGTTTACAAAAATTAACACAGACCGTACAACTGCAAATATGCAAAAGAAGTCGATGAGCAACCAGAAGTTTCCGCAAGCGTTTATAGCCAGTGTTCGAGAAGCAAAGCAAAAGCCAGTTTACAAAAATTAACACAGACCGTAGAACTGCAAATATGCAAAAGAAGTGGATCAACTACCAGAAGTTTCCACAAGAGTTTACAGCCAGTATTCGCGAAGCATAGGTTAAATGGTTAAGGATTAATATTATTAGTGTACTGTTACAACATATAATTATACTGTTAGTCAACAATTAGTAAAGAGGCAAAGAGTGACTTGCTGTGAGAGGTTAGTAAATTAAATATCATTTTCATCCACTTACCTAGAGCTCCGAAATATCTTGACACAATTTATCCACAGTCGGGTTGCACCATTTATGCACAGTCAATATGAAAGCAATAGTTTTCTTCAAATACAAGATAGTTTGCACCTGACAACTGTCGATATTCTCCAGACAAAGCTTCTTAATTACCTGTTTGTATTATCCCTAAAAGTAAGATTTCTACATTTAAAGTAGAAAAGTAATAAACAGCCAGTTCCCAAAAACCCGAACTACTGACTAGAAACAGTGACACTGACACACACATCACAACACGACTGTCTTCCGTGAATTAAAATTAAAATTGCTGTATATCCACTTCACAATATCCATTTGTAGATTTGTAATACGAATACGTTTAGAACACAGGACTTTGTAAGCATATTAATATGTCACACAATGCAACATGGAAACGCTCCCAGTAACCTATTTTGGAGGGGGACTCCTTCAAAATGTATCATGATTCAGTTGTCAGGACTGAATATATGCAGCCGGACGTGGTTAGATAAACTGTTTGTTGAGGATGGCTTCATACGCAAGCAATGGATTGTAGTCGTAAAAGAGAACATTTTTCCGGTGGGTTCTGGGGTCTCAATGGGGCAATGTGGGTGAGAAGAGACCCATTGCCTTCCTTTCAAGCACGTCGTAACAGGCGAGTAATTAGGGATTTTTTCTGTGAAGTCGGAGCGCATTCGCCGGAGAGACGAGGATACAACACTCTAAAAATAAATAATCTAGACCTGTAAAACGGACCTGCATGCAAAACTTAAGTTCTGGCACAAGCTCAAAGTCCGGAAGTGAAGAACAACCATAACATTCCGCAGAGCTAGCAGGTGAACGTTAAGAAACTATATATCTATCTTCTTTTACCCCACCAGGACATCACACAAACGATAGACACCCGATGTCACAAAGTGCCATCATGTGGGTGAGGACCACCCGTAGAGAGGTCCCAGAAACCGCGTTCATCCATTAGGCCATTTATATGACCGGGCTATATTGCAGCCCCTGGCAAGAGCCAGAGTATGGCTTCAAATAACGAAAAATTGCATCCCAAAAAGGGATGACAAGAAAGTTCAACGGAAGAGGGTAACAGTTTCAGAAGAAAGAAGTGATGAGCCTAGCCACCTACCGTGACTGTGGCGCCAGTTCGCTGGTGCTGCCGCTGCAGGAGGAGACCACGCTGCTGTTACTTCTGGATCTCATGGAGTCGCCTCTGTTGATAAGGCCTTTAGGTGTGGTGATGAAGGACCTCAAGGGGTGCACGCTACAAAACAAAACATTCAATCGTCACCAGGTGTATTCTCAAACATTTTTGTTGGACTAATTATGTCAGTGCGGCGTCCGTGGCTTAAGCGTTGCAAGTCCGACTCGTAATTCCAACGTACCGCGATCGAAACCCACTGCTGGCTGCGAGGATTGTTATCATGGTATGGGGCGTCGCAGGTCGACCCAGCCTTAAATGGATACCAGGATATATGTCCTGGGGAAGTAAAGACGGCCGGCGTAATGCTGGCCACATTACCCATCTAGTGCCGATTGGTCTGTAAAAAATGGGTGCTCTTCCCATATGCCCGATGCGCCTAAGGCGTAAAAAGGGATCTTTACTTTTACTTTACTTTAATTATGTCAGTCCCAGACAGACAATAATTTTAATGGCTGTATTCTATAATATGATACTCGAAATAAGGCATGTCTGGGCCGAAAGGGTTTCCAATAATAACACAACAGAAGAAAATGAGAAACAGAGTAACAAATAAGATATAATGGGTTTTGTACTGAATGGATGAGAAACAATTGGTTGATAAATAACTGAGTTATGACAGTTTGAATATTTTCCCTATATAAACAGGTAAATAAACAGTTACCGCGCCAATTTAAAAAAAAAAATGGAATTTTGCAACAAGACATGCATTATTTTGTGCAGAAGTTAATAAACTTCCAGGTCAAGTAAAAAGCTAAAATTCCACAATTATGAGAAAAAAGAAAGGTCAATTTAGGGGTTAAAGCATGCCCGACTGTAGACGAAGACTGGAGACAGTCACGGTTAAACCTGTCCTTAAGGGGTTAACTAAAGTATATAATGTAAACAGTAACCAGCAAAAGCTTGGCGAGTTGCTTGGTACGGAAAGAGTTACAATACGACTGTCCTTCCCCGTGTGGGTTCCAGGGCTATTTTGTAGGGAAAACAAGAACAGACCCAGTGACTACTCAAAAGCATGTCGTAAGATACCTGAAAGCATGTCGTAAGACAACAAATAAGGATGTCGTAAGAGACGGCTAATTGGGATCTTCCTTCAAAGTCGGAGTGCATTTGCTTGAGAGGCAAGGAACCAACAGTCTGCTTACGATCGAGTCAGATATGTAAAACAGATGCTCGTGCAACATTCAGGGTCTAGAATAACATAGTCCAAAAGTGGAATAACAACCAGAACTTTCCAACATAGTTTATAGCCAGTGAACACAAAAAATGGAAGAAGAAGAAGACTGCCTTCCTTTACCACTTTCAGGTGTAGACCGGAAGAAGGGAAAAGGGGGGGGGGGGGATGTGAGCCTAAGGATTACCGGCCGCATGGTTAGTGCAGTGGTCACGTGCCGTGCAGATAAGGATTTTTTTATTATTTTTATTATTGCCTCCAAGCGGGGGGGGGGGGGGGGAAATCCCACCCCTAATCGAGGATCGAACCCATGTCTCTAGCATGAAAGCCCAGCGTTCTAAGGGAAATCCAGACGCTCCGCAAACAAGAAATCTCAGGAACCCACAATGTTAGCTGTCTTATACTTCTTGCTAATGCAACCAGTTAAACTAATCTATTTATCTCCCTATCATTCTAATGACTAGTCCATGTTTTATTGTGTGTGTGTATATATATATATATTGTTTGTTTGTTTGTTTTAGTACCCAGAAGCCATGAGTTGTTAACCCTTAGGCTCGGTATTATGGATATCGAAACCTTTCGGCCTTGATTCCATTTTAAATACCGTAAATCTGGGAGAAATGTGGCTTTTCTGCCTACCCCCCGGGGAGTGAACCCGGACCACAAGGAGTTCGTCACCCGCTCACCGCGCAATCCGGTTTAGCCAACTACGCTAGAGAGACGGGCATATATATATATATATATATATATATATATATATATATATATATATATATATATATATATATATATATATATATACATATATAAGTCTGTCTATCTCCCCTCCCCCTCCCTCCCCCATATATAATATACATATGAAAGTCGTCCCCATGTGAGATGGAATTGTTTCTTATTTGAAGCCCCAGCCTGGCTTCTGCCCTCAATATAGCAGGGCCATAGATATGGCCTAGCCATAAATATAGCCTAACGGCTGAGAGCGGTTTTTGGGCCCTCTAAACCAGCGATCTTCATCAGTATGGTGGCACTTTGTGTCACCGGGTGTTTATCGCTTGTGTGATGTTCTGGTGGAGTACTTCTACCTATTCCCCCCCCTTTTTTTTTTTGCCCCTCACCAATTGTTCTTTTTTATTTATCATTTTACCCCCGAACAAATGATTAACCACCGATAGATCAAACAACTGTTCTCTCTGGAAACTTTTCCCTAATCCTTTAGGAGGTCACTTGGTCTTTCTCCAACTGGTCTGTCTGTACACCATCATACGACTTTAATACATATTGACAAAAATGGTCAGTCCCTATCAAGACCGGCTTCAACTGGGCCCTATAGACATAATGACCGTATGTCTATGGTTCCAGCCACCGAAAGTCCAGCCTGCATATCATTCTATCCACCAATTGGTCAGTTCGTGTATCGCTCTAACTATCGACTGGTCAGTCTGTCTATAGATCTAGTAACTGTTTTGTCAATCATATCATTAAATCCGTAAGTTTATCAGTCTATTTATCAAGCTATCCGACTGTGATCAGCCTGTATGTATGTTCTTCTACCTGGCCGGGAACCACTCGTAATTACCTCTTAGTACAAGTAAGCAGTATTGCTTTTTAAGTAGTTTTGCCTGGAACGAATATATCCATAAACCGTAAAACTGTGGCTTGTAAATGGTTTAAATTTGAAAAGCCTGTTGATTAGAATAATCATCTTAAGTGTTTCGGGGCCTATCTTTGGGGGAGGAAAAAAGGGTGCGGTGGGGGGGGGGGGGGGTAAAAAAACAGGCCCACTTTGTTCTCCTAACAAGTATTTTCCAAAAATCTACTAATCAGGGATGTACCCTTTGAAAATCGACGTCGGAGTGCATCTGCCTAAAAGGCAGGGGGCCAACAGCCTGTGCACAAATAAAACAGATCTGTAAGAAAGATATGCATGCCCATCTAAAGTTCTGGAACAAGGCTGACCCAGTTTGCAGCAGGTGAACGCTAAGAAGGAGGAGGAGAAGAATAAACAAGAAAAAGAGGAAGAAGAGGGGAAGGAGGAGATGGTGAAGGAGGAGGAGAAGATAAAGAGCAGAAGAAAAAGATTATAATAGCTGACTGTAACAACTGGGACTGAGTGGGATTAATGTAAAAACAGGGGACCGCGTTAGCGCAGTCGATAGGAGACTCGCTTTCAAATCCAGCTGCAACTCGCTGCAGCTATGGTTTATAACCGTGTGCAAGGACGCTGGTTCACAGCTCCCAACTTTACCTTTTAATGTAACAACTAAATCAGGCCGAAGAATTTAAAGAAATAGATATTATCTAAGGAGTGGCCAATAAACGCATAATGGGCGAACTGGTATGAATAAGAAAATATCCATCTTTCACGCATCACTGACCTGTATTCCTGATCAGATATAGGGGTCAGGTACTTCCGACCCGGCCTGTTAATCTCGTTCCGAGTGGGCAGCGACGTTGTTCTGGGCCGCATATCCTCCAGTTCAGTGTTTTCCAGCAGCCTCCGGTGGGGTTTTTTCAGAGACGACGATCGTTTCTTCGTCCGAGGACTTATCAGATGAACTGCCATCTTTCTTTCTGCTTCTTTCTACAGCTTGAGTAGTTGGGCTGGCTACAGCTTGAGTAGTTGGACGGGCTACAGCTTGAGTAGTTGGACTGGCTACAGCTTGAGTAGTTGGACTGGCTACAGCTTGAGTAGTTGGACTGGCTACAGCTTGAGTAGTTGGACTGGCTACAGCTTGAGTAGTTGGACTGGCTACAGCTTGAGTAGTTGGACTGGCTACAGCTTGAGTAGTTGGACTGGCTACAGCTTGAGTAGTTGGGCTGGCTACAGTTTGAGTAGTTGGACTGGCTACAGCTTGGGTAGTTGAGCTGGCGTCAGCTTGAGTAGTTGGGCTGGCTACAGCTTGAGTAGTTGAGCTGGCGTCAGCTTGAGTAGTTGGACTGGCTACAGCTTGAGTAGTTGGGCTGGCTACAGCTTGAGTAGTTGCGCTGGCTACAGCTTGAGTAGTTGGGCTGGCTACAACTTGAGTAGTTGAGCTGGCTACAACTTGAGTAGTTGAGCTGGCATCAGCTTGAGTAGTTGGGCTGGCTACAGCTTGGGTAGTTGGGCTGGCTACAGCTTGAGTTGTTGGGATGGCTACAGCTTGAGTAGTTGGGCTGGCTACAGCTTGAGTAGTTGGGCTGGCTACAGCTTGAGTAGTTGGGCTGGCTACAGTTTGAGTAGTTGGACTGGCTACAGCTTGAGTAGTTGGGCTGGCTACAGCTTGAGTAGTTGGGCTGGCTATAGCTTGGGTAGTTGGGCTGGCTACAGCTTGAGTAGTTGGGCTGGCTACAGCTTGGGTAGTTGGACTGGCTACAGCTTGAGTAGTTGGGCTGGCTACAGCTTGGGTAGTTAGGCTGGCTACAGCTTGAGTAGTTGGGCTGGCTACAGCTTGGGGAGTTGGGCTGGCTACAGCTTGAGTAGTTGGGCTGGCTACAGCTTGGGGAGTTGGGCTGGCTACAGCTTGAGTAGTTGAGCTGGCTACAGCTTGAGTAGTTGGGCTGGCTACAGCTTGAGTAGTTGAGCTGGCTACAGCTTGGGTAGTTGGGCTGGCTACAGCTTGAGTAGTTGGGCTGGCTACAGCTTGGGTAGTTGGGCTGTGTGGTAAATCTGGGCATGAGAAGAAAACAAAAAATGAATGACGTCTCCACAATCAGGGTCGCTAAAGTGTATATCCATTGTTTTTGTTTAAATATTTTAAGAATAAAAGTAAACTGTGCCCTTCAACATCTGCTAAAGTCAAATTGTCTGTTTCGCAACGCTAAGATCAAAATATATAAAACGTTGATAAGAACAATCGTTATATATGGCTCTGAAACTTGCAGCACAACTAAAAGAGATGAAGCCTTATTACAGGTTTTCGAAAACAGAGTCTTATGACGAGTCTTTGGACCCATCACAGATGCAAACAGCGGGGAATGGAGAGTGAGAAGCAACAACGAACGAAATTCATATTCTGTTTAAATCACCATTGATGATTGGCATCATGAGAGCTAATAGACTGAAATGGTTGGGGCATATTGAAAGAATGTCAAATGACAGATAAGTAAAAACTGTATACACCAGGGAGGTGAATGGTCGTAGACCACCAGGCAGACCAAGAAGACGATGGAGAGATAATATCCAGACAGACCTGCAAACACTAGCTGTCACCAAATGGAAAGACAAGGCCAACCATAGTGATGAATGGAGGCGGATGATATCTGCAGCAATGAACCTCAAGGGCTCGGAATGCTGTAGAAGAAGAAGAGGAAAAGCAACGTGATCCTGTCGGTGCCTTCAGACGTATCGGGCATACAGGACTCAACCTATATTTGACAGACCAATAGGCACTCGATGGCTGATGTGGTCAACATCACGTCAGTCGCCTTTACTTCCAATGGAGAATATAATGAAGTGAGTATTAAATCTCTTCCACAGTTTGCAGTTATTACTGTTATTTGTCACCGGTTAGCAGGCAGTTTTTGAACACCTACTGGACTTTCGGCTCTTTGGAATTTGTGTTAACGGCGCTTTGCTGTTGTAGTAAAGTGTTGGTGGTTTTAGCAGCAATAGTAACAGCAGCAGCGGTGGTGGTGGTGGTGTGGGGGGGGGGGGTGGTGGTGGTGGTAATAGTAGTAGTAGTAGTAGTAGTAGTAGTAGTAGTAGTAGTAGTAGTAGTAGTAATGGTAGTAGTAGTAGTAGTAGTAGTAGTAGTAGTAGTAGTAGTAGTAGTAGTAGTAGTAGTAGTAGTAGCAGCAGCAGCAGCAGAATGAGTAGTAGTGGTGGTGGTGGTGGTGGCGGTGTTGGAGGGGTAATTGTTTCTGTATTTGTACAAGCGAAGGCCGCCAGTGTGGGGCCTACCTATCTCTATTGGTACGCCAGTTTTCTATGGTATGGTGTATTTCCACTCCTCTATCACACACATATTTACCGTTTTCTCGCTACTCTCTTGTTTACTATATACATGGAATATGACATTTAAAAAGCCAGCTTTATAGTAGTCGACCCAGAAAATCCAGAAAATGAGGAACTTTACTTTCCAGAGAAAGAATTAGATCCACACACAATAAATGAGCTACTGTTTGCAGACGATCAGTGCCTGTTCTACAATGAGGGAAGTAGACTGCAAGACCATTTGAACAGGTAAAGTTCAATATACAGAAGATATAACATGAAAATAAATACTACAAAACCCTAAGTAATGCAGGTGAGCAGAATTCCTTTATGTTGGGTTGAATGGTACTTGTCTGAAGCAAGTTAACGAATTTAAATATCTAGGTCTTTTCTCGGAGGACAGGAGAATAGATCGGAAAATAGAAACAAGATTCAAAGGAGCCAGTGAACTTGTATACCAACTGAGGCCGTTATTAAAACATCCAAAACACAAGTATGAGCGCCAAGAAACAGATTATAAACAGCATATTCATATCAAACTTGGACATTATCGAAGGCTAACCTGAGTAAAATGAACACATGTGAAATGAGATGCCTGAGAAAAGCTGCTAACTTAACCACCCGCGACACAGTTAGAAATGATATCATCAGACAGACTGTAAGAACAACACCATGCAGAAAAATCCAATGAGAAACAGAAGATCAAATGGTTTGGTGATGTAGTAAGAATGCAGCCAGAACAACTACCAACACAGGCACTACACACGAACAGATCTGAAGTGAAATCCAGAGGCCGTCGTTTAGGAAAATGGACTGATAACATTAAAGAGATTCTACATCGAAAGTGAATTACAATAGCCGACGCTGCCCATCAAGCAACTGTTCGCAGCTGTTCCTCCCGGCAATGCAAAACGGCAGAAGTGAAAATTGATGATGATGATACACACACACACACGCACACGCACACACACACACACACATGCACACACATACACACACACACAAAACATCACACACATTCACCAAACTCATACATCAAACACACACACACATACACCAAACTTATACACCAAACACACACACATACACCAAACTCGTACACCAAATACACACATACACCAAACTCGTGAACCAAACACACACACACACACACGTACACCAAACACACACTCATACACCAAACACACCCCCCCCCCCACACACACACACACATTCAACCCCCCCCCCCCCTCCACACACACACACATCTCATATGATGCCACTGTCACGCAAGTAGCTAGCACACGTTCAGTCGTGTCGATGGTCTTACGCCCGAAAGCCCATGGAAGCAGAGATCGTGTTCAGTCTAAAATTAGCAATCACGAATATTCTGAGAAATACGTCCCATAAAAAGTTTCCATACATAGGAAAAATACCTGTGTTGTGAAAACGTGCAGATGCGTACCCTACACCCAGGGTACCAAGGCTGGTGTCCTAAGCAAGAGCTATGCAACAGGCGGTCCGCGTTTCACATCTGGCCCGCAGAGGCCTAGCAAGTGACGCGCGGATCATTGCAAGTTGTACTGTATTGATGATATTTCTATGCTGGGGCTCTGGTCTCTGCCCAGTGACGATCCTCTTATAGAAAAGTGTGGCCCCTAAGTAGTCGAACAGCTGCGGGCCATGCGCCTTGCATTGGTTTCGACAGCGGTATCAAGAAAGCCGACCGTCAGAAAGCAATGGCAAACCACTGGACGTAAATTTGCCTAGAAAAACCACAAAACAGCCAGGGGCTGTTGGGGTTGGTTCTGCAACGTCCTGTAACGGATACGCAACTAACCTTAAGTAGTCGAACAGCCCGGCTTTAAGCTCTAAAAAAATTTTGGTTGAACCCCCCCCCCCCCCCACACACACACACACACACACACACACACACACACACATACACACACACACACACATACACACACAAGATTTGGGATAAGACATCTAGGGTATTCTAGTCAAGAGAAGTATAACCAGGTGGAATGTTCCTTACAGATGTTCCTTACATAAAGAAATAATCTTACTGAATGCGGCAATGTAAATAACATGTACATTATCATTAAAATGTTGTAATAACAACCAGACACAGGTAACATTAAATCACCCCGACAAATTTATAAAATATAATGGCACTGTGGTACTTCATTTATAACTTACCCCTGACGTCACGACAACGTCACGGGAGACATTCCCAATAAATTCTAGGGTGTTCAGGTTGTAGTTTCTCTCGATTTCTCTACAGTAAAGTTTAGGGTTAGGGTTAGGGTTAGGATTAGAAGACACTAGATGAACACTAAAAAAAAACGGCACTGTATACCCATTTTGTATCGTGGAATGGAACAGGTTCCTGAATCTTCGTCAGTTCTGTCACAGGTCCCATAATTCAGTCAAAGGCGGGTTTAGGGGATTGGGAGGGGGAGCGGATGTCGACAGATAACTAGATCCAATAATAAGTAAAGGAACCTTTGGGTTCTTTTCAATTAAGTCACTCCATCTGGGGAAATCCGAGATTTCCTGGAAAGTTCCCGGAAGAGTCCAATAATATAGGGGTGTACAATTATCACCAACTAACGCTAACCCCCCCCCCCCCCCCCCCCGCATAGTATTACCTTCCCAGGAACTCTCCA